TTTTAAAATAAAAAAAAAAAAAAAAAAAAAAAAAAGTGTTTCTAAGAAAGTGATTTAAAAAAAATTCTTTATGAAGCAAATAGAAGTTGCTTTAAAAAAAAAAAGCACAAAACTACTTATTTAAAATAAAATAAAATAAAGTTTAGATAAACACATCAAAAAACTAAAACTTATTTTATTGAGAAAAAAAAAACACTTTTTAGGGGGGGGAAAGTATAAACAAACAGACACTAAATCTTTCAGACCATCTAATAACTCACTGTAAAAAAATATTTTTAACCAGTATAACCAAAGAATTATTCCTAGTTATCAAGTTAATCTTTCAGACCAAAATCTGCATAATTTGAACAGCATGTCATCAACATCAAGTGGTAGATACCTGCACTTTCCTAAATATCATGTTTTAAATTAATTCCGTGGTAAATTTGTAATTTGGTCGAGTAAAAAAAAAAAATCTTGGATAATTGTTAAATTTTATAAAATCGCATGCATAAAGTGCAATTTCAAAACAATAGTTACAAACAAAAAAGGGGAACATGGTGCTATAAAGCTCCCACTATGTGGTAATATCACGGGTCGACTTATCTTGCATAGGCAAGGGACTGATTCCACAATATGACAACAACTACAATTGTTGTGCCAAGGCTCCCTTTCAGTTTCAATGCAAAAGTTGACTTTGTACAACAATAATCCCATGAAAAGTTATTCATTGGTTGAAAAATGATTTTCATACACCAATGCCAACAATGAGAAGACTAAGCATCCTTCACACCTTCAAATGCACAAAAAACCTATTTGATTAATATAACATCAAATTCAAAACAAACTTTGGTGGATGGTAAGGTAATTTTGCTTCATGAAGGCATATGCCTAAATATTGTATCAACTGTCAACACATTTATTTGCATCTTCTCTCTATATCTCTCAGTCACTGATTCATTCTTTGTCCAGTACCCATAACCAGTACCTAGCAGTTTCTAATCAATAAAGCAGGAAGTAAGCAACCAACCATTTTTAGACCTTATTCAAGGCCATTAGCAATGCCATCTTCTAATGTAAATCCCAATCCCCTTATGGACAAAATTTTCTGAAGCATAATTTAAGTATGGTTTATTTGCAGCAAAATGTCTTATGGACAAAAATATTTAGACAGATACGAGTATATTTGTTCCACAATTTCTTTCCCTTAATTCCACACCCTCTTTCAGACACAGTTTTGTGTTGCCCGCCATAGATACATAAACCCTTGCAATTCTAAGGAGATCATTATGGTTGGTACTGGTACAGACGGTTCTAAGGAGATCATTATGGATAGTACTGGTATAGACGGAGAACCAAGGAGAGGAAGAAAGAGATGGTGCACCAAATGAGTTGACACTATACTCTACACATTTGTCTTTGATACCAAATGCTTTCACTGCCCATCAATTAGCAAAAGAAAATTTAGAAACTGAGTTAGGGAATCCCCTTTCTTTACATACATGCACACAATATAAAAAAATATATAACATATATATAGAACACATTAAATACGTAAATCCAGATATTGGAATCAATGCTTTCTAAAGGTGTCCAGATATGAATTGACAATTCAATATACCACTTCAAATGAATTGGAAATAGAAACATTTCTAGAGAAAATTCAGAATGATTAAAGTTACAATGAAAATAATATAATCTTGAAAGAATAAAAGCTTAATATATCAATTCTTATAAAAATTTGAAAGATTGTACGTAGTAAGTACATGACAAGCACATTTGAGTATGCTTGAAGCTTTTAACTAAATTGAAAAACAGTTGACAGTATTAAAAAAGGCACAAATAATACTGAACACAATAAAAATAGGAGTTAACTGGAACTAGATATTTTCAAAAAATGAAAGTAGATCCTTGGAAAGAAAAGGCCTTACTTTGATATATTATCAAAGTAAGTCTGCGCTCTGTCCACAAATACACTTGTCTATAACATTCCTAGAGTAGGGTTAACACTGAAAATCCTCTCTTCCAGTTTGACATTTCAGATAGCACAAAACAACATAGAAACACCAGTATTTTCTGAAAATAAAATAATTTTTCTATTCTTTTTATGATTGGGTATTAAACTAAATTGACTAGGTCTATGTGTTAGTAGGCTATTAATAAAGCATATCATCATATTTTGAAAAGAGATAAAAAAAAAAGTGAAGTAAAGAATACAAACCAAACCATACCTCTGCATGTAACAGCATTCTCTCATCAAAGCCAATTGCCGTAGAACTATTTGCCACTTGTGAGCCAACATCTACAAAGACATGGACAAAACTGAAATAAATTTGGAGTTTAATACCACATGAGAACAAGAAAACACATAACTACCATATAAGAATAATCACATCTTAATTAAGAATAAAAATATGGATTTGTGAAAACCTTGACAAAAGAAAATCTGTAAATTACAATGGTGGACTGACCCCACCTGCTATTTGGAAAATCTATAAAAAAAAAATTAAAAACAGCTTCACTAGTTTGACATATACAAATTGTAACATTGTAAAAAAAAAAAAAAAAAAAAAAAAAAACAAATGGATCAGAACGGGTCGTTCCGGATTCAAAATTAGCACATAAAAAGTGAAACCATAACTGTAACACCCTGAATTTTCTTGTTGATTATTATTTATTAATTAAAGGGGTTTTATAGAGGTTCGTATTAATTTAAAATTATTTATGAAAATTTTTATAAATTATATTTTTTAGGCTGGAACGGGCTGTTCCAAAAGTGGAACGAACCGTTCCAGATAATGAAAATAAGTTGTTTTTGAGGGACCAGAACGGGCCGTTCCAAAAGTGGAACGGGTCGTTCCAAAGAAGAAAATTACTCATTTTTGTATTTCCAGAACGGGCCGTTCCCAAAGGGAAACGGGCCGTTCCAAGGTTATGAAATTGCCTAAAGACCTTAGTTGGAAACGGGACGTTCCAACTATGGTCAATCAGTGTCAACGTGAACTTCAGAACGGGCCGTTCTGCTTTTTGAAACAGGTCGTTCTGCTTTTTGAAACGGGTCGTTCTGCTTTTTGAAACGGGCCGTTCCGATTTTGGAACGGGCCGTTCCAGTTGCTAAATTTGCCTATGTTATATATATATATATATATATGTGTGTGTGTGTGTGTGTTAGATAACCTTAAATTAGTAGTATGTTATTTAATATTTTTTGTTGTATAATGACTGAATTATAATAAATATAGATATTTATTAGATCATTTTGTAACAACCAGCCATGATCTCTACACTTAGTAAAATCGCACTATTAATAGATAGATAGAAAAATATTAAACTAGATGACTCGTAGATACAGGTATATAAATAAAATATAATAACTATGTTTCTATGTAAAAAAATATAATACTATATATGTACAGTCATTCCAAAATAATAATCTCATAGTGCCGATGAAGCACAAACAACAGTTATCCCAGGAGGTAACTCTAACACTAAGACAAAACTTCTCCTCTTGTAGCGGTCACCTCAACTCCAAGCTAGCCCTGACCTGCTCCCATACAAGGTATGATCATCGCAGTCCATCCACATGGAAATAGAAGGATAAGTTAGAGTTCAAAAAGCAATCATACAAGTACAGAATAAAGTCTATACTACACATGCATCCAAATCAAGTCCCAAAGGGACTCCCATCTCAAATCATTCATCATTTCATCAAACATGAAGTCAACACCACACACTTCATCATACTAGAAATCATGCAATATATGCAACTCATGACAGATATCAATGAATATCAATCATCTAATGCATTGTCACGCATACACTTGGGACATCTCCATAACAGTAGAGCAGTATAAGTGACATCCCAATCCTACCGAAACCACCCCAACCGTTTTCACATCCAATGCACCCGCTCGGTCACAACTAAACAGGATATAAATCCTCACTCGAGTTTACTTGAATGATGTCACTTACACAATTGGAAGTCCAATTCTACCGTTAGGTATAACACAGTTGGGTACAAGCTTACCACGACCTTGGCATGCATTACCAAGTCACTTGTGGGGTTCGCCCACCGAGTATCCGCAAGGAACCACGCACCTTCCCCAGTACTTGGTTAAGGGAATAACCCTCGACCTCATACTCCGCTCCAACACTAGCTAAAGACTTAGAGGAGACTCACCCAAACCAATGGCCTACCTGAGCACCACTCTCACCCAAAACCAGTGACCTACCTAAACACCGCTCTCATTTATAATAGTGGCTTGTCTAGGCACCACTCTCAAGAGACTCTTTGTGGGCTCTTCCAGTTTGAAAATATTTCCCTCTCCTCAAGTCCTAGGCTAGACACATGCCATAAGGCATCACATGCAATAATGCATCATACATCATACATGGTCTACCCACCATCATGATCAATATCATTCTCGTATGGATACCCAGCCTGTATAAATTTCTTTTTGCCATAGACACTCCCTTTGTACACCAGGATTTTGAGTTTCCTACAGACATCTCTATTTTTAAAAACTACAAAAAAATAATGAATTCAACAAGAAAACTTCTGTGCAAAATTTTGACAAATTATTTTTTTTTCTTGAATTAATGTTTTTAATATAGCTCATAAAAGGATATATGTTTTTAATAACAATAGCTGACTTATGTTCATTTTATTTTATGTCTTTCAGCATCTTTTCTTCACAATGCCTAACAGATAGGATCTGGTATAGCAGTATTGCTAAGGGCCACAATGTTTTTAACCATAGTTTCTTCCTTTATAAATGGTTTTTCTTTAGATGCTGAGTTAGTTCAGTTTATTCTTAATAACAGATGTTTTTCTTCTATACTCCAAAACAGAAGACCAACCCTAAACAGTTTTGTAACAGATCTCCTTGTCCATTTTTTTCACACCATGTTTCTGTTGAGTGCTACTGGTCTAACCCAATGCTCCCATCCTATAGCCCCATTCCACTCCACATGAAGGAACTAAGTGATTATAAACTTTAATGACAGCAGATGAGTTTCAAAAATAATGATAATAACCCCAGGCTACGACAACTTGAAATGAGCAGCCATAAAGGAAGCCATTTATCAAACTTGGAAATTACAGTTTGACAAGATTCCTTGCCAAAACCAATATTATATAGAAAACCATTTATCAAACAGCATATAGAAAACCATTTTGATTCAATTATAACCATCATAGAATTATTAGCCAAACATGCATATACACCTTTCAGTCCTTTTATGCTTTCCTGGACCTCAGTCAGATCCTCATCTTGGGCAAGAGGAGATGCATAAAAACCATGGCTGATGATTTTGGAGTCCCTGTGCTCCCCACATATCTGCACGCAGAAAATAGCACTAAATTTAGTAAATTATTCACAAAAATAAAGAGTAAAGATTCGTAGCAACTATAGGATGATTAGTTTATCAATTATCACCATATCCAGACCCATAGATCACGATTGATAACTAATTAACTATCCATATAAGAACTTCCTACACACAAAACAGGAACTCATAACAAAATGCACGTCACAAAACACAACGGAGAGGCAAATTGCAAACATACTTGACAACAGTCATCACCATCGAGGTTAGCCATAGTGCAATTTTTGCAGGACCACCTTTTGATCTCCACACACTTAGGCAACTGAAACGGCTCCCAATCACTATCTTCATCCTCGTCGTCAAACACACCGTCGTTTTGATACACATCCTCAAAGGTCAAATCCCTCTGCAACCTGGCTCTCTTGGCAGGCTAAACAAAACAGTCAGTCACACAAAACACAACATGCTTAAGGAACCACACACACAACAAACACTATGAACCAAGAATTTCGCAAAAATAAAGGTCCAACAGGTACATACAGCTTCAGGGTCAGCAACTACATCATTGGCATCAGCTTGAGCAGCTTGCTTGTGAAAACTGCTCTCAGATGCTTCACCATTTGCTAAACGATTCGTTTCAACAGCTCCTCCACTGGAACCATTACCCATTGGTCTGTCGGAAAACCTAGCAACTAGAACATTTGCTCAGAGTAAGAAATTAAAAATTACACAACGACAAAGACAATGGACCTAACTCAACAGTTATTAATGGAGAAATTAAAAAATACATGAAGATTTTTTTAAAAAAAAAATTCTTGTTGAAGTAAGAAGAGTGGAGAGAGGGAAGTAGCTTTCACCTTCGCGAATGAAGCTGATGGAGAATTGAAGGAGAGTGAAAACCGAAAATGGTAGGGTTGATAACGAGATCTGATAGGGTCGCAGGGGTAAAAAAATAAATGAATATAAAAAAAAGGACGAAAACCAGAGAGCACATAGAAAGAGAAAAGAGTCTTACCAGTTACGGGGGTTTGGACTTTGGACCAGCAGCTACACTCTTTTCAACGACGTATGATTCACCGTTAGATAGAGCCACACTATATATCTTCTTTTTCTTTTTCTTTGTTTTGGGAAAAACTTTATCTTTATTTTTATTATTATATAGGAAAATAATATTGAATAACTTGCTTTTTTTTCTCTTCTCAAAATAAAGATTATTTCATAATTAAATTAAGCTTGTTATACAATTAAGACTACTTTTTATGACTAGCTACCTAGTTTTATTAAATTTAAAACAAATGGTTAATTGGTTTTATCCACTATAGACTGTTGAAGTGGTTTTGTAATATGTCACGTAATTTATTATATATTTTTATTCATTCGTTTTAGTAATTATAAATTTAAGTTTAACATTTATTGTAACATATTATTATTTTGGATCAAATTATTTTTATTTTCCTTTTTTTTGTTAACAGTTGTATGGTATGTTAATTTGTCACACTCTCGGTTGTATCTTTTCAATTTCCATTTTTTTTTTTTTACAATTAGGCAATAAATATCACAAGAATTTTAGATTCCGATTGATATTTCTGAATTTGTTTATCTTGTGTTCGATTCCAATTTTTGTATAATTGGGTTATAAGTATATATATAAAAAAATAAAAAAATAAAAGTATTAATCTTTCTGAACTCGTAAGTTATTATTAAGCAGTGTTTTAAAACCCGGATCGATCCGGCCGGTTGGACCGGTTGGACCGGGAACCGGTGGTCCAGCCGGTTCGAATCTGAAGTTGGATCGGTTATGCAGTCGACCCGTTTCAAACCGGATTGAACCGGTCAATTTTCCGGTTCAACCGGTGAACCGGTGGGTCAAACTGGTTCAACCACTTTTTTTCTTTTTTTTTTAAATTTTTTTAAGGGACCATAAATCACAAAAATAATAATGAAAATTGAATCTCTTAATGAAAAAGCAAGGAGTCTTATTAAATATAACAATGACTACTTGTTCTAATATATTTGTTTGCAATATATACAACTTAAATAACTTTTATAGTATATTATTAATTTTAAATTATATATTTAATAATGCAATATCTATGTAAATATTACATATATTATTTTGTGATATTAATTGCAAGCATATTATATATGTACATATTATTTATATTTTTAATTTGTATTAATATACCGTTTAACATGTAATTTTTTTATGTATTTTTTTACAAAATAAAAATAAAAATAATTTTAAATAAGATAGAAAAATTTAAATTTAAAATAAGATATGAATTTATTAAAATTTATAAGTATAAAATATATTTAATATAAGTATTTTTTAATAAAAATCAAGTCATGCGGTTCAACTAGTGACCCACCGGTTCAACCTTTGACCCACTGACCCAGTACCTTAACCGGTTCGATGACCGGTCCGATTTTTAAAACTATGTTATTAAGGTTAGTAATAAATTTTATAATTTAGGGATACATATTAAGGTATCTTTGATTCTTTTTATTTTGTTTTACGGTCAACATTTTTAATTATATTTATGATTTATATTAATCTCATTCTTGATTTTGTATATAATCATCAAAAAGAATTAACTCAATTAACCACAAATTTAAATTAAGTTGGATAAAAAAAATTAATCAATTTTAATTATAAGAATAATTTGATTCAACTCACTTATAATCTAATTTATCATGGGTCAAGCTGTGATGAGTTAGGTTGGTCAATTTAGTATATTTTTAAAATAAAAAAAAAATTAGGTTCTCAAATGTTAAATTTTGTGACTATACATTTATATCATTGACAAATTTGTACATATTAATTGTAAATTATGATGATTAGTACTGATTTAATATTATTTATCAATATTTTATATAACAACTTTGATATTATAAGTTGATTAAGTTAGTTGTAATTAATGTATTTTTTTTTTACATTTTGTATCTTATTTGTAATTCTAAAATATAAGATTATAATATATATTTTTTTATAAATTTTAATAACTAATTTTTATTTTTCAATTTAAATTAGTTAATACATTTAGCCCACCAAACAGTGATGAGTTATTTTTTTTAAGCTCATCAAAAGGTAGATCGGGTTGGATTATCCCACCTATTTCCCAACCTATGGTGAGTCGAGTTAGACTAGACCGAGCTATCAATTTGTATAACTCTAATTTTGTATTTGTAATTGTCCTAAAGGGTTTTGTAACAACTTGCCATGGCCTTTACATCATGTGTATCATGTAACTATACTAGTCGACCAAGATAATCATTGACTAATAATAATGCATATAGATATACGAGTAAAAATAAAACCTCTGTTTATATAAACAAACCATATCATAAAATATGTATATGAATATATATAGTCATCCAAAACAACAGTAATGTTCTCGCACTACAACTAATACATTATATGTATATTTGACATCAAAATCAAAATCCCACACACCCTAACGACGGTCATCACAGCTCCAAACTAACCCTAACCTACTCTCGTACCAAGTATGATCATTGTAGTCCATTTACATAGAAATATAAAGGGTAAGTTAGAGTTAAAAAATTTATCATGCAAGCAAAATAGTCCACATCTATGTTATACAATCATCATATCACCCAACATATTCATAGAGTCAAACAATGCACTCTATCATACAACAATCATGCAATAAATGCAACTCATAAGAGATATCAATGCATAATCATCTAATGCGTTGTCACGCATTCACTTGGGAGATCTCCCTAACAACATAGCAATATAAGTAACATCACATCTTACCGAAATCACCCCAACTGTTTTTATGTCCAATGCGCTCGCTTGGTCACAACAAATTGAGATATCAAATCCCCTCTCGAATTTATTCAAATCGTGTCACTTACACTAATGGAAGTCCGATTCCACCGTCTAGAATAGTACATACGGGTATAGGCTTACTACAATATTGACATGCATTACCAAGTCACTTATGAATTTTGCCACTGTCTATCTGCTAGGAACCGTGCAATCTTTCCTAATAATTGGTTAAGGAAATAACCCTCGACCTTATACCCCACTCCAACACTAGCCAAGGACTTAGATGAGACTTACCCAAAACCAATGACCTATCCAAGTACCACTCCCACCCAAAGCCAATGACCTATCCAAGTATCACTCCCACCCAAAACCAATGACCTATCCAAGCACCATTCTCATTTACACCAGTAGCATATCCAAGCACCACTCTCAAAAGACTTTATGTGAGCTCTTTTGTTCAAAAATATTTTTCCCTCTCCTCAAGCCCTAGGCTAAACACATGTCATAAGGCACCACATTCAAACAATGCATCATACATCGTACATGGTCAATTCGCCATTATGATCAAATTCATCATCATATGAACATACATACCAAATCATGTTTAAACATTCCTATATATCATTCCCAAGTATACATATGAATCAAGCATCAATTTACATCATATATCAAACATATCTAAACCAATATTAAACATTAACACATACAAAGCATCATTACTCAATCCCAACACCAAAAAATAAAGGTCACACCCAACATAACTTAGTTCACGCCCGACCTAACCTTAACCTGAGAGCTTTAGGGCTTTCTCAAGTTCGGCATAAGTTTGGTAGAAACTCCCTTATGAAATCACGCCCGATGCAACTCACCTTGCGCCCAATGTCATGAAGTCAAAGACTTCCTTGGGGCATCCACGCCTGACGCAACCAACATTGCGCCTAACGCCATATCAGTAAGAGTCCATACAAGCTACTATCTAATATTGCGTCCAGTGTGACCTTCTTCACGTCCGACGCCATTCATCTAGAGGCTCCTATTTTAAATCACGCCCAACGCGACTAACCTCGTACCTGACATGATAGTGATACTTGGGTCTCTAATGAATGTCCGCTCGGCGCCATCAAGACACACCTAGCATTAATTCAAAAATAGGCACTTCAAGTTTGAAAATTCAAACCAAAACTTGCAATTTCAACAAACTCAAACGCATGCAACCAACTCCAAGCATTTACAACAAGGTAAAGCAACAAAACAACCTAAAAACCAGCATACAAACCAAAACGAGATCAAAACCAATAAATTTTCCATTTGGCCCGAAAACCCCGAAACAGAACAACTTCTCAAATAGTTCATTCAATCCACCTTTCATGCTTTTACCAAACAACAATTTTATCCAAACAAACAAAAATGTGAAGTTTCTCTAACTTTGATTCAAAGTTATGAAGAAGAAGAAAAATGAGGAAGAAGAGTTTCCGAGCTACCACGGATGGAAGGAGGAAAAAGATGAATTCAGCCTATCAAGAACACCACCTCGGCCTTAAGAGGAAAATGAGAACATAGAGTTTAGAAGATTTGAAGTAGTGGAAGGAAAGAAAGAATAAGAGTTTCGGGACATTACAGAATCTCATTTTTTCAATCATTTTTTTTTTAACCTAAAACACTAAAACTTGAGATTTTACTTCAGAATATTAAATTCAATTTTATTCATCTTGTTATTTTGTTGGTTGACTCGTTATTATTAACATATGATTTTTTTAATAATTTTTTATAAGTATTGTAGCATATTTTTATATTAGAGTAAAATTATTATACATTACTTTCAATTTACTTTTTATTCTCACTCTAAATAAGGATAAATAAGGATTTTGATAATACGACTATTTAGATAAAAAAAAAATATTACCTGGTTAATCACAATAAATTTATAGCAAATAATTATTTTTTATTTTAGAATCGAGAACAGGAATGTTATTTGTAATTTCACTCTTTTAAATTTATTATTTTTTATATATTGTGTATTTTAATTTTAATCTTGACATTTATTTTTAATTTTATGTTATTATTAGTAATTTAATTAGTGTAATATGTTGGATAAATGTTTATTTTTTATATAATAGAAATGTATAATAAATATATATTTTTGAAGATATAAGTTATATTTTTTATTTATAATTAACACTTTATGTTATAATATATAGTTATTTTAACTATTGATACTTTTAAGAAAATGCTGAAATTAAATATAAGAACATAAATTAAAAAGATTAAAATATTAAAAGAAATATATATTTTTAAAATAATAAACTATAAATGTTTTAATTAAATCATAGTCCACAAAACAAAACCCTCACCGAACCATTTCCAAATTTTCTACCAGTGTACCCTGCCTTGGTGCCGCCCTAAAGAAATAACGTCAAACGCCGAATCTCTTTCACAGAGCATAACTGCTGCTCCAAAGTCCAAACCACTCTCTCTCTCATTTTCGTCCCTTTTCTTTGCTAATATTCTGTAATTTCGTTGGTCACGCTGGGAGGAACTGTTCTACCTTCTAGGTTTTCGAGTAGACACCAATGGGTAGTGGAGCTCCTGAAACGAATCGTTTAACGAACAAAGAAGAAGCTGTTCACAAGCATTCCGATGTGCTTTCAAAATTGCATCTTGACGAGAGCAAGTTCGACGTGCAATTCAAACTGTGGGCACTTCGAATCCCTTGCCAACATTGCACGCTCGCCACTCGAATCCTCAACGGGTCCGTATTGCCGTTATTTCTCTCTGTTCATTCATTCGCATCCTTTGTTTTTAATTTCCGATTTTGTTGTTTGTGCAGTTACTTGCTCGACAAGCCCCGAGTTAAACCCATCACCGAGGACCCTACCTGTGCCAAAAACCGTTATCTTATACTCTCTGACAAAGTTCAGAACCAAGGTATATGTGTCAACTTTTGCTTCTCTAGAATATATTTGAGCAAGGTGGTAACAGGTAATGTCCAAGGGGATGTCAATGTAATGTTTTTGATTGCACACTCATCCCTTGTGTAAGAGGGTCACTACTCGTTAATATTTTTTAAACAATTAAGTGGGTTGATGTAATGTGCAAGGGAATGTCAATGTAATGTTTTTGATTGCACATTCATTCCTTGTGTTAGAGGGTCACTACTCAGTACTCAGTACTCACTGGGTAATATTTTACAAACAATTGGTCTAAGGGGATGTCAATGTAATATTTTTCAAATAATTAAGAGGTTAGTGCTGGGATAGAAAAAGTAGGTTGTGTTTAATTTCACAAAATCTTGATGGTGTCTCTGTAATTTAATTAATACTAGCTGGAAAAAGACACTCCATAAAAAAGAAAAAAAAGATAGTGTTTCTAAAAATAAGTAGGTAGTTATTATTTTTAAAGAAGGTAGTTATTATTATTATTATTTGTATATATATTGTTCATATTTTATTCTTAAATATAAAATAGTGAGAAAAAAATAAAATACAACACAAGGGTATAATTGTCTTTGAAAATGTGGACACCAAAAATGGATATTCCCTTTATATATTGTTATAGAAAAAATAAAATACAACATAAGGGTATAATGGTCTTTGAAAATGTGGACACCAAAAAGGAGTATTCCCTTTATATATTCCCTTTATATATTGATATATTGATGATTCCCTTTATTTATTGTTATAGAAAAAAATAAAATACAACATAAGGTTATAATTGTCTTTGAAAATGTGGGCACCATAAAGGAGTATTCCCTTTATTTGATGATGATGATGATATACATATTTCTTTCTCTCTGACTTGAATTGAATGTTGGGGCAGATTTATCGGATATTCCAAAACAAAAGGTTGACGAGCTTAAGGGCTTGTGTGAGATTGAAGTTGTGCCCTATTCGTTGACACTAGGGTACTCTTATTGGAGTGCAGGTGAGTGAATGCATTGTTCTCTTCAATCATACTGCCAAGGCTGTCTTTTAACTTTATTTTTTCATGTTGATGGAGTAGTTACTTCAAAGTGTCTCTTTTACTCAGGACCATTGTAGTAACTTTTTTACATTCTTTGCTTTTAAAAATTGGATTTGTAATGATTCATTTGTTTCCTACATTTGTGCTTATATGTTATTTACAATTGTATGAAAATTTTTTGTTTTCATAGAACATGTGCTGAAGCAGATACTGCCTACTGGAGTGGAGGTGCCTTCATCATTTGAAACAATTGTTAAGTATTTGGAATAATAATTTATGATCATTTTGTGAGTGGTATCTGAGCTGTATTATTTTTCTTTGCCCTTTATGCGTTGTAATTTTTTTTTTTGTTTTTTAACTATATACATGTAATTTATTTATATTAAGTTTTTTTTTTATAATATTTTTTATAAACTCAATATATATTTATTAATTCTTTAATATTGATTCCTTCAGAGGGGTGTAGTGATGTTCATTTTCGTTAACAATTAAATCTGTTTGGTTGGTTGCTGATAGTAAACTAACATATATCCTACTTTATACAGGTCAAGTTGCCCATTTAAACCTACACGACGAATTACTTCCCTATAAAGATGTTATTGCGAAGGTTATTTATGATGTATGTACAACTGCATTGAGGTTTAAGTTTTAGTTTCAATATATTTTTTACAAGCTTTCTTTGTCTATTTACTGCTGCTATGAAATGCACTAGTCTTGTTTACAAGTCAGATACAAAGATGTTATGCTTGTCTTCACTGAATTCTCTCCTTTTTAATTCATTTTGGTTTGGAATAGTCAGCGTTACATTATTCTCTGTTTGGGTATATAGCATAACTATTGCTGCAGTATAATAAATTTGCTCTTCCAAATCCATGTTTAGGAATTTTTCTCTTGCCCTGTCTTACTTTGTTAATATTGTAAAATTTTCTGTAAATTAAGCATTAGAATCTTTGATCCTGTTTGGCCTCACATCACTACTACTTTGAGGGCAATGTGAGTAAGGAGAAGAAGAGGAATTTGGACTGTAAAGTGCTGTAACAATCTTGCCTACATGGCAAGGTGTATGGGAAAAGGAGGTAACTGGCTAGCAGTCAAGATAAAAACAGGGGAGGGAAGGATCTGGGAATGGTAGGCTAGATTTAAGTAAAATGGAGAGGTTTCTTGGCTGGGTTGGGTCCCTGGGTTATTCTGTGCACATGTAGAATTCCCTTGTTATCTTTTATTTATTTTTGCATTTTCAGTCTTAACAAAGGGCCTTTCCTTTTAAGGAGCTTGGTCTCCCAGTTTCCTAATCTAATTATGAGTTCCTATTCGATCTATTTGATCCTGCTTCCTCATTTTAGTACTATGTTACTGGCATGTATATCTGTGTTGTTTCATGTATGTTTGAAGCAAAATGAATGATGTTATTCTACAGATTAAGAGGTTACCTTGATGTCTGCATTTATGTTTGAGTAACATGCCCTTTGACCTTTGCAATGCATTGCTATGAAGATGTGAATATTCATTCATGAATTCTATCCATATTTGAGTAACACTCCCTTTGCATTCTATAAAGATGTCCATTTGAAGATTCATTCATTAATTCTATCTTTATACCATTAAGCATGCTGTATTATACATGTTCTTCCTATTTATTTTCTTTGTTTTCTCTATTTATGCAGAAAAATTATCCAAGAATTAAAACTATTGTGAATAAAGTTGGAACCATTACAAATGAATTTCGTGTGCCAGAGTTTGAAGTTTTAGCAGGAGAGCATAACATGATTACAGAAGTGAAGCAATATGGTGCCACTTTTAAGCTTGATTACAGTTTGGTTTATTGGAATTCAAGATTGGAACATGAACACAAAAGGTTAGTCTCAATGTTCCATGCTGGAGAGACCATTTGTGACATGTTTGCGGGTATAGGTCCGTTTGCAATTCCTGCAGCACAGAAAGGATGCATAGTCTATGCGAATGATTTAAATCCAGATAGCATTCACTATCTGAGGATTAATGCCAAAATCAACAAGGTTGATGATTGCATTTATGCATACAACATGGATGCTAGAAAATTCATCTCCCAGTTGATGGAAGTGCCAAATACTGAGGCCACATTAGAACACTCACCCGAAGTTCCCATTTTGGATGCTAGTCACACATGCAAGATACAAGACAATGCTGAATCAAATTCTGAAAATGAGTTGCTAACTGGTAATATCTTTATGGAAAATAACGTCAATTATCTTAATTGTGATACAAGAACATGTTCCTTAGTAGTTAATACTAATATTCCTATTGTAGTTGCTACAAAAGACTTAGGAGACAGCGATAATAGTGGTTTAGAGGATGTACAGGGTTCAACAAGGCATGCTGCTACATCTGTAACTGCTGGTAAAAGATCTTCTAGTAGTTATGATGAAGGTATTCTACAGGCCGCAGTATCACATTAGGCTGTCACTAGATGTAGCTGTAATCTTCTAGCTTGTCTAAGATTTCTACAATTTTAGTTCTAGATTTGAAAGGCATAGAACCTTATTGTTTTACAGTCCCCTTCTTTTAAGAAAACAATTACAACATTGATAACAATAATCTGTAAGTTTGAAAGTAAACTTGACAGTTGTTTTCATTTGTCAGGGAATGGAAGGGCTCATGAAACTGGCATCCTGGAAGGTGGTAGGAGGAAAGGTGGCACGAACAAGAGAATGAGAGGCTCTAAAATCTCTAAGACAAAAACTTGGGAACATTTTGATCACGTAATAATGAACCTACCTGCATCTGCTATTGAGTTTCTAGGTACAATGTCATTTAATATAATGTAACTATTTCTTTTACAAATCATGTGGCCTTATTCACTTGGGTGAGATCCTTATTTTCCTTCATCTATAAGAAGTATTTGAACATGTCCTTTGCTTAGTATATTAAAACTGCAAGCAGTTTCTCTTCCATCCCCTAGGTTGGTGAGCATCTCTACTGTTTTAAGCGAATGTAGATTGATATATATTTTAACATGTATACTTTCTATAATCAATTTTGATGAGAGTTTTAGATCTTCATTTTTTGCGAGGGATGGACCCATTGACTATCTGGCTGAACTTGAATTTTTTAAATGATCTAGCAATTATAATCTATACTAAGATTCATTAGTGACTTTATTTCTTAGCATTTTGTTTAGTTTGCATTCTGCATTGCGGTCGAGTGTATGCAAATTCTTTTTCAAGGTTTTTTATTTTATTTTTATTTTTTATAATTTTATTACAATCCTAAGATTTATAGGCAGATATGTAACTCAAAGATATGCCCTGCCAGATGCATTCAGGGGTTTAATCCAGAGGAAATATTGGAAAGGATGTCTACCATGGATTCACTGCTATTGCTTCATTAGGGCAACTGAAACTGAGGAGTCTATAAAAGCTGTGAGTCCATTATGCTATTAATGTTGCACAGTTCCCTTTTTGTGTTTAGGTTAGAATATCAATCACTTCATTGTTTTATGGTTATTTTAAATCTTCCATTCATCCTGACGGCTTAGGTACCTGGATTTTTTAAGCTACTTGGATATGGACAATTATAAAATATGTATATTATTTGTTTGTATAGTTCATTGAACTTTATCCTGCAGGTGGCAGAATCTGCTTTAAATGCTCCTATACAAGATGCAAGATTTCATAGGGTTAGGGATGTGGCTCCAAACAAGGTATCAGTAATTCATCACTTTTAGATCATTTTGGTATCTCGTTATTCTTCTAGTTGATATGTATAACACTAGAATTTGTATAATTACCTACTCATGGCTTTTGCTTTCTATTTACTGTGCAGACAATGTTTTGTTTAAGCTTTAGGTTGCCTGAAGCATGCGTTGTTGAAGATAGTCAATAACATTATCTGTCCTTGGGGGTGCTGAAGTGAAGTTAGCTTTGTATAATACTACCTTAGTTTTCAGGGTTTGATGGATGCATTGATTGATTCAGTGCCATGTTCTATCTGATGACTCGAAAACAATCTTAGTGTAATGTGACATTTAACAGAAGGAATAGGCAATATTCATTGAAACTATAGAAGGGTATATTCATTCTTCTTGAGATGCATTTATGCATTGTACTTTAAAGCAAAAAGCACCCAGTTGATTTTAAAGCTGCGTTTGGTGCTTTCGAATTATACACAGAACTATAATATTATTATATATTGCAGTATGGATTGATCTATCAACAACTATTCTACTACTGTAGATTGTGGGCCAGGTACAGAGTCAGTTAAATGCATGACATGAGTGCTTTTATTTTATGGATAAATAGCGGTTGAAATTTTTTTGGCCTCTTGGCCACAAATCAGGCGATGCAACCCTGTTGCTAAGTTGTATTCAATCAAGAACGTGCACTATTTTCAGTCGATCTAGATAGTGTATCTTAATCGTTAGAGATTTTAGTCACACCATGATCTGTAAGGATGTCTAGATCTTCGTCAGAACTGAAAATTTCTGTCACAAGTATTAACTGCAAGTATTTGATAAATTTTAATCGAAAAAAGGGGGATGACCGGATAAGTACCTGAGTAATGCAATCTTTAATGATATCACGTCCCTTCTTCTTTCAGCAAAATGTATATATTACTAAATACTACAGTGGTATAAATCTCTGGACCCCTACCCTGACTTTGATTACTAATTATCTTTATAGAAAAATGTTTTTATGTAGACAATTCACTTGGTTAATCTATATTTCAAGATATCTCTAGTTGATTAGAGAAAATTACAGTGAACTAAAGCACTGCAATCAATCATTCTATCGTAATCTCTTTGAAAGATTAGATTTCGAACCAGGTCAAAGGTTTCCTCAAAATGGTGGTTTTGATTGGTTCTAAAGTAAAGTGATAAAAGAAAGGAAAAAGACAGGACTTAGTGGATTACAAAGGACAAGTGGACTAGTTTATGCGTGGTTTATCTGCTTAGTTTGTTTAATCAGGAGCTCCAATACAAATTTCATGCTTGCTTTGCAAACAATCGTTATTTCGTTTTTCTTAGAACTGAAAATACTGCGTCACGTCGAAAAGACTAACATCCCAAATTATTTTTTTAAGGGAAAACTTAATTGCTGCTTACTATCAAATATATAAGAGTAATCCTGAATGGTATGGTAACACTTGATGAATAGTATGTTCCAATGCCCTCCCTTTATTTCCATCAAATACCTTTAGCTTTCCATTTAACCAATAAGAATAAGCTATGTTGATTTGTGATTAATTGGTCCAAAATATTTTGTATGGTATATTGCTACTCAATGTATAATAGAACTGGAAATAAACTGTGCTCAACTAAATTCAATTTGATTTAAAAAGAATTGTTTGGGCTTGAAGTTTGACTTGAAATCAATATGAACATTTATTTCTTTTAATTTGATATCAATTTGATTCAAATTCACAAATGACTTGGTTTAGGCATGATCAACAGACGAGATTTGTCGGTTTCGAGTTTAAAAATCCCAAACCACAAGAACCCGTAAACTCTAAAATTAGCCCTATTTTTGACCAATAATGTCTTTGATTAGGTTGGTTTCGAATTAATCAATTAATTGAATTTGCGTTTCCTCGAATAATATTGTTCAATATACCTTCTTTCAACACAACGGTCTCACTAGAATTTTAAAACCCAACCTCACAATACCCTCAACAAACCCTAAAAGCTTCAGAAAAGGGTGGGTTCAAATCTGTTGAGAAGTGGTCCATGCAACAAGTTTTCTCTCAAGCTGCTTGCTAACAACAACAAAAAAAGAAAGAAAGAAAAAACCAAAATAGAAATTAGGCATGGCAAGTATAGAAGAAAAGAGTCCCCTTAGCATAAATATTGGAACTGATATGAGATAAAATATAGAAAAACTTTGTGTTGAGATATCAAAGAAAGAACATTGAAGGTTGGTTTAAGATGAGAGGAAGGAAGAAGAAATGAATGAAGATGAGAAAGTTGAGAGTGGAGGAGAAACTAAGAAGACGAATAACAACACTAGGTAAGTGTTTCACTTTCACTTAAATTATGAAAGTAGGATTTTTTAAACCAATCTTTTAAACCCGACAAATTGTTAATCCGATTTTACTCATTCGCTTCTCAATTTTTTGTATCCGATATTTCATATTCGGCTAGATTGGAAAAATATGATCACTCCTAACTTGGTTGAATCTATTAGCTTTATTTGATTTAAAATTATGAGAAAGGGTCTCAAATTTTTTGAGAAAAAAAAAATCTCCAAAGTAATAATATTTTCAAATTAATGACTAAAGATGCATTTACACTTAAAATTTTAACAAATTAAAAAATAATACATTTTGAAGATACATTTTCGAAGTATGTAGGTCATAAATACACTCTTATTTATATAGTCCGTACAAAATCTCATTTTTTAAGTCTTAATAAAAAATAAAAAAACGAAACTTTTGGCCATCACCAACTCCCAAGACAGACAATAACCGGAAAACTAGAATTCCTCATGTGATGGTAACTTTTCCTTTGAGGGACTATTTTAATTTTCTATATTTGGGAAGTGCTGTTGCTCTTTGTAATACAAAATGAAGTCCTTGGACGTAGTCCCTTTTATTAAAGCAAAAGGCTATGCTTTACCAAAAAGATATATACAAAGGATAATAGGATTAAGAGTACACGTAAATTGAAGGTGGAAAGTTAGAGAATTGACGACCCTGTCTCTCTTCTATTCTAGTCAATTACTAGTCAATGCGTTGTCCACAACCAAAGTGTCTTCTGTCTCCATTTTGCATGAACTTATTTATAACCTTCCATTTTGAAAGAAACAACACTACAGTTCAGTACGTTAGCATAAAAATATATATATAATGAGAGCACACAAGAGAGAATATTGAGATAATTACCTGTATATTAGTATGTCATTGATTAATCCTCCTAAAATTTCTCTTACATATAATTAGTTCCTATATTATAGGAAAATGGCTCTGTGAATATTCTGTACATAATCAGTTTCTATAAATTATAGGAACGTAACTCTGAATATTTTGTACAGATTTTCCGTATTGACAATGAGAACACTACATGACTGCCTTCTATCCTTTTCTTTAGAGAATGAGAGCTTGATGCTTTATATTTCTTATAGTGTGAAAGTATGGAGATTTGAATGAATAAACTTCTCTTAATGTGTGAAAGTATAGTGTGAAAGTATGGAGATTTGAGCTTGATGCTTTATATTTCCAGCGTGCATTAAGTACTTTTTTTTTTTTTTTAATATATAGTGATAATTAGATGGGGTAGAGACTTACTTTAATTTATTTACTATTGAATGGGTATACTTACTTGCATAGAGTATGACTAATTCTAGAACAATCTAAGATAAAGAGATCAAAAGAAAAAGGCACACATTATAGCTAAACGATTGAATGATTATTTGAGACGATATCAATTAGTTACTCATTATTTATAGCATGTATATGGCTTTATGTTTGGGATATGATTTTCCATGTCAGAGATGTGATTTTCAAAAGCTAACAGTTACAATTTCTACATCGCAAAAGTGATTTTTTTTTCATTCTTGACATGTTTTTAAACACACTATTAGATCTAAGACCTATGCCTCTTCATCAAATGAACCCAATTTTGTAGTGGATGAAAAAATTATTGATTTTAATAATCATGTAAGTTATTATGTATATGCATATAATATTAATTCAAATATTACTAAACTCGATTTTTTTAACAAAGTTTGGGTCCATTTATTATAGATAAAGAAATGTAGTTGTAAAAAGAGACTATATTAAAACTTAAAGATGGATTACTCAGATTTTTAGTTCTCAAATAGAAATTTGTTAATTAAACTAATAGATACTTAGTATTAATATAATAGTTATAAAAGAAATAAAATTAATTATTTATTTTATTTTAATCAAAGATTGGATTTTCACTTTAGAAGAGTAAACCTCGTATAAAGTATTGTCCCTCTACTGAGCCTTTAATTGATGATTCAATTATCTAATGTCCCAAATGCCCTATGATGTGTGGGATTTCGTATGCATGCTGGCAGGGGAACCACTTGATTGGCCACACATAACTCCTTTCAGTCTTTTACTATTATTATGATTATGATTATGCTTACGATGATGATGATCCAAGAGCTTAACACTAATGCAACACATGCTGGCATTATCACTGAATTAAGGAACGAATCTTTGTTCCATTTCCTGCTTTTTCATGATATTCTAAAAAACTCCAAATTTCAGTCCTTGTTTTTTTACCTTCTCTGTGAAGGCACTAATAAAGAAATCTCTCCTTGTCTATAAATTCCTGTGGCAAGAATCATACCTTCCCCTTTCTTTTTCTCCCATTTGTTTGGCTTCTATTCTGTCCCTATTCTTGAATCTTTGCTAGTTTCGAGGCTAAGACCGGAATATAGGGAAAGCCATAAAATGGCTCAAGAAAAGGCACTTTGTTGTGTTAGGTACCTAGTGGCATTCCTTCTTATGTTGTTAACCATGGCCTCATGTGGCTCAGGGGTTGGAGTCAACTGGGGAACCATGGCAACTCATAAGCTTCCACCAAATAAGGTGATCAAGATGCTTCAAGAAAATGGTTTTGATAAACTGAAGCTGTTTGATGCTGAAGAGTGGATCATGGCAGCTCTCATGGGGACTGATATTGAAGTCATGATTGCAATACCCAATAACATGTTGGAGGAGATGAGTAAGAATCCTCAGGTTGCAGATTCTTGGGTTTATGAGAATGTCACTAGTTATTTGTACCCTGGTGGACTAAATATCAAGTTAAGTAGTTCTACGAGTGTATATTCGACATTCATGATCACATTATGTGTGCATCTTTTCTTTGCAGATAGTTTCTTTCTTTCAATGTTTCTTTCTACTATTTGATTCACTTATGCTTTCTTCCATTTATCTTGCAAATTTGTTTTGTTTATTTTCTTATTCTTTTATTCAAGATGCTATTAGCTTGTGTTTCATTTTTCTTGGTCCAAATTCTTGGTAGTACCCATGTCACAATTACTCCATTTTGTAGCAATTGAATTTTATGCTAATTTTATGATACCACACTTCTTCCAATACATATTCATGATCTTTTATCTATTTAGCTTCATAAAATAATAAAACAAGGCGAATGTTTCAAGGAATGTTGATAAATCAGAACCCTACTACAGTACCTCAACTAAGGAGTTTAAATGGCATCATTCTTTTATGTAATGCACTTTATGTTCTTATTGGTCATATATAAGCTTATGTTGTGTCCTTGTGTGTGTTTAAGTCAAATAACTCTAATCTGCACTATGCTTGTGATGCAGGTATATTGCCGTGGGTAATGAACCTTTCCTTAAGGAATATAATGGCTCCTATCTACAGTCAACTTTGCCAGCTCTTAAGAACATACAAACATCACTCAATGGTTGGGGCCTTGGCTCACAGATCAAAGTCACTGTTCCCTTCAATGCTGATGTTTACTATTCTCCAGACTCAAACCAAGTGCCATCAGCTGGTGACTTCAGGCCTGAAGTAAGAGACCAGACAATCGAAATAGTCCAATTCTTATATGCAAACAATGCACCATTCACAGTCAACATCTACCCTTTCCTCAGTCTCTATGGAAATGATCATTTCCCTTTTGATTTTGCATTCTTTGATGGAAACAACAAGCCTCTCATAGATGGTAATTCAGTTTACACCAATGTGTTTGATGCAAACTTGGATACCCTTCTCTGGGCCCTAGAGAAGGCAGGGTACCCTGACATGGATATCATAGTTGGAGAAGTAGGGTGGCCAACTGATGGTGATAGGAATGCTAATGTCCAAAATGCAAAACGGTTCAACATGGGTTTGCTCAAGCATGCCCTTAGTGGAAATGGTACCCCTAAAAGGAAAAGCCTAATTGACATTTATCTATTCAGCCTTATTGATGAGAATGCCAAAAGTATTGCTCCTGGCAACTTTGAGAGGCATTGGGGGCTTTATGAGTTTGACGGGAAACCAAAGTATGAATTGGACTTGACAGGACAAGGACAGTATAACAAGGGTTTGGTCCCTGTGGAGGGTATAAGATATATGGAGAAACAGTGGTGTGTCTTGGATCCTCAAGTTAAGGATCTTCACTACTTGGCTGATAGTATTGACTATGCTTGCAGCCAATCAGATTGCACTGCGTTGGGGTATGGTTCTTCTTGCAACAGTTTGAGTCTCCAAGGGAACGCTTCTTATGCCTTTAATATGTATTATCAAGTTAATAACCAAAAGGATTGGGACTGTGATTTCTCTGGTTTGGCTATAGTCACAGGTGATGATCCTTCAGAAAAGGGTTGCCAGTTCCCTGTAATGTTCTCTTCTGGCTTTTCTTTACTACTGCAGGAAAGGCTAACAAATGTTCTGAAGAAAGCTTTGGCTATATACATTATATTTGTAATATTACTATAGTTGACTGATTAAAGAAGCCATGGAGCACTTAAAGAATGTGCCCCTACAGATTTTTAATTTATATTCTTGAAGAAAAAAAATTAGATTTCTGTTAGTTAGATACATTTGTTCTTTTTTTTTTTCTGACTATAAGATAGTTTTGGGCACTTTCATTTTTATTTTATTTTATTTTTCATTTTTAAAGGATTTGGATTCTCCTATGTTGATAACTACTTTAATATGGTTATGTTATAAAGAGAAACACGATTTTATCAAATATAATTAGGTAATATTGTTTTTTTTACGCTTATCTTTTTCTTACAAGAAGTTAACTAAAAAAATTTAAAGATCTTTGATAAAACATAACGAGGGACAAATAATTTTAAAAAAGTTTAACTAATTTTTTTTGTTAGATATAAGACACAAATACTTAATTCATAATTTTAAGTAGTAATGTTATAAATTTAAATTTTATTTTAAAAATATCTATTGAATTAAATGATTTAGGTGATTATTATATTTAATATATCATTAATATTGCAATATATAATTTTTTCAATAAATAAGTGTGACTTATATTATTAATATCATGCACCAACTTTCACAAAAAATGAGTGAATGTCTCGTTACCAGATTTACGATGGTAAGAGCATCTGTAGTGGGGGTTGCTTATAAGCAATTCCATGTACAACATTATGCCACATAAGCTCTTTTCTACTTTATGAGTTGCTTAAATTTTAACAAAGTTGTTTGTAGAAGCTTCAGTGCTAAAATTTAAGCAACTCATAAAGTGAAAAAGAGCTGATGTGGCATGATGTGGCAGAGGGGGTTGCTTATAAGCAACTCCCAAGGGAGATGCTCTAAATTAAAAGTATAAAGATATAAATAATTAGTATACTTAAAAGTGAGTGTAAAATTTTTTCTTGAATAAACTGACATGGGACAATGATATAAAACTTTTAAAAGAAAATTTAATTTTCTTATGAAAGAAGATTTCAAGTCAAAATTAGTAATTTTTCAAATTTATTTATATAAAATTAGTATAAAATATTCATCGCCAATAGCAATAATTGATCTTTTTATGAAAATCATGAGTCTATAAAAAATGAGTTTTTTTTTCTCAACTTCTACTTTATTTAATAAAATCTTTAAATTTGAATTAATTTTTAAATAAAAAAGAAAAAGTTGAAAAGTCTTTCTTGTGTGTTTGATATCACATTATTGACAAAGTTTTTCACATTTAGGTTGAAGTTAATAGATATTACTTTTATGTCTTTTAGCAAGCAAACATAAATTCTTATGTTTTGACCATAGACACATAATACAATCAATTATGATGAAAGTTTACTTGATGAGAGCTATATTTTTAGTTTTATAAGGAACATATAAAACATTCGATAACAAGATATTTCTTTAAAGGAAAAATTGCTTTTTCGAGCAACATATGAAAATGGTGGGTGATCACAATAGTGAACTTCGCAAAAAATTATTTGAGTTTGTACCCCTTAAAAGAATTCAAGTACCAAACCACATGTTATAATTCCTAACTTGGACTATCAAGCACCCTTAAACTAATCGTTTGATTTACCAAAGCTCAACAAGTGAAAATTGAAACAATTCTACTCAAATTAATACAACTATTTCAACTGTCCTTAAACTAATTGTTCGACTCATTAGAGCAACTAGCTTGGGGTAGCTATTTTTGATGAAACTTTGATTCAAACAACCTACCCTAAATATAATTTGTCATATCGACCACCTTAGTTAGAACATGAGGAACAAGTAGCTTCACTACCTCAACTAGTTTAGAGGTTTATGGCTCAACCACTTGACTAAATCACTAGTCATTAAGATGTCAATTAGAAAGGAGCTTATGTTGATGAATATTAATTGACATCCTATGTTCACTTGCTCAAAAACAAGACAAACACTTGATCTTTAAAATTATTCTCTAGTCTCTTTAATACATGTGAGAGTAATTTTTTGGAATAGTTCTTGAAAAATTTGAGAGTTTAACATATATTTTGGAATTCAAGACCCCTACTAAAGACAAGGGTGAGGGAGAGAGGAGGAGAGTTTTGATATGTATATATAAATAAGAAAATGATGTTAGTTGGTTAGTTAGATAACTATTGTTAGTGAAAATTTTATTACCGTAAATTAAACATTTTAGACAAATTAAAAATGATAATCAAGAATTGTAATGCATAATTTATTCTTCATATTCTCCTTTTTCTTTATATCTTTCTATTTCTTTCTCTTTTTATTTCCTATCTAAATTTTACATTACTTGAACCTTTTATCCGATCACTCTTTTGATGTTTTAATGATACACAACAAAGTGATGCAACTTAACCATTAAACATAACACCACTTTGTATCTTAAAATAACTATGATTGTTTCTTTAACTATGTTCATCATATTATGATAATTAGTTACTTTGTCAAAAACTAATTTTAATATTACAATCTTTGTATGTCGCAATATTATTTAATAATGTTTTGAAATACTTTAATATCATCCACCTCCCCCCTCTAGTTACAACATGTAAAAATTAAAATTAAACACACCATTAATAAACATTCGATTAAAAAAATCTAAATCTAATTAAGGTATTAAAAAATTGTAATAGGTTAAGATTTGCTCTTATATTAAGTTAAATTACTAAGCAAGTTCCTAAATCCTAAATTATTATTATTAATCTAATTTTTCACTGTAGGAAATGTTAGGTGAAAAAGAGTAAATAATTTGGAAGAAGGCAAAGTGAGAAAAAAAGAAAAGAAAAAAGAAAATCGATCCATTAAATTGTGCAACGGTAACGTGTGGGTCCAGTGAATTCAAAAATAAACGGCATGAGAATAATATAGTATGCGAATGATCACAACTCACAAGAGTAACGGGACAAATATTTGAATTCAAAGGCACAGAAGAAGCCTTACCCTGTGATCTATGTAACCGCTCTCTCTCTCTCCTTACATTACATGAGTGAGTGAGTGAGTGAGTGAGTGAGATCAGAAGAGCAACAACAATGGCTTCTCTCACCCCAGGCATCCTCCTGAAAATGCTGCAGGCCATGAACACCAACACCCGCGTCACAGGCGACCACCGCTCCCCGCTCCTCCAACTAATCGGAATCGTGCCGGCGCTGGCAGGCTCCGACCTCTGGTCCAACCAAGGCTTCTTCTTAAACCTCTCCGACTCCCTCAACTCCACCTACGTCCTCCTCTCCCACCCCGACACCGACCTCATCCTCTCCAACCGCCTCCAGCTCGGCCAGTTCCTCCACGTCGACCGCTTCCTCTTCGACTCCCCCCTCCCCTCCGTCGCCAACATCCGCCCCCTCGCCGGCCGCCACCCCTTCCTCGGCTCGCCGGAGCCTCTCGTCGCCCGCATCAACCCCTCCACCAGGCAATTCCTCATCCAACCCCTCTCCGACTCCGAACACGACCCCCTCTCCCTCTACCTCTCAAACCAACCCCCTAACCCTAACCCTAACCCTAACCCTAACCCTGTCCCCATCCACCACCAACCAAAAGACAAGGCTAACTCCAGAGAGCCTCTCGCCCCTCGCGACAACGTCCTTCCTCAGAGATTCTCGTCTCCCTCCACCGCCAAGAGGTCTCACTCTAGAAATAGCAAGACCGTTGTGGAGCGTGACCCCTCTCCGGTCACCAAGGGGAAGAGGTCTGCTTCTCCGGTTCCTTCCAAGTGCGTTGTGCCCAGCCTTGTCTCGGCGCGTGAGGAGAATCGGAGGGCTTCGAGGGAGCCGGCGATCGTTGTGCCGTCGAGGTACCGGCAGCCTTCTCCCACTGGGAGGAAGCAGCCGTCGCCGAGTCCGCGGCGGGCCTCGCTTTCGCCTGGGAGGAGGCTGTCTGGCGGCCTTAAGGTTTCGCCGCTGGTGGGGGACTCCTCCGGGAAGAAGAAGATGGCCACCATTGTTGCCGGGATTGCGAAGACCTCCGATGCGTTGGTTGGGTCGGCCAAGAGCGCGAGGAAGAACTGGGATGAGCAACCGCCGGCCACGCCTGTTGAAGGGGAAGCCAGAGAAAAGGGGGGCTCTAAGAGTAAGGTTGACGCGCAAGCAATTTTGCGGACTCAGGTATGTGAATTGGATTATTTGGCATCAGAAAGGTGGAATTTTGTTTAGTATAGATTCGTTTTGGTTAAAATTGATTGTGAAGGGATGTTGTACATGTTAAGGTGTTTTTATTCTAAAATTAGCTTTATTCAGGTTCAAATCCTCGAGATGAAAGTGTGAAACTAAAAGGGCTAAGGCTTGTTTGGACAAACTGAAAGAGAAGAACAGAAAGGAAAATTGAAATCAGCTTTTCCAAAACTAAAATTTGCTTTTATGTGAGCTAAAAATAAGATTTTGGAGAAATTAATACAAGAAAGTTTCTTCAAATTAGTTTATGCATAAGCTATTTTTAGCTTATGAAGAAGCTTTTTTCATTTTTTTTCCTCCTAGAAATATTTCTGGAGAAGTTTAGCCAAATAGATTTTATAGAGTTGCTCGTGATTGAGCTTAAAGTGGAAAACTGATTGTGTTTTTAGTTTTTGAAACTATTCAAACAATGCATCTTACTGATGCGATTTAGCAGGCTGCAATGTCCAGGCGGTTAAGTGATGTGAGTGGTCAGAAACCGGGTGGCAATGATTCTTCGAGCAATGAGAAAACTAAAGCTGGTTCTCCTCAAAGTTGTGGCCTTGAAGATAATTCTAATTTTGCAGCCATGGGTATCACGATTCATGAAAAGAAATGGACTGATGGAAGTGTTCCATTAGATGCTGTGTCTGGGAACCTTGCAAGGCTTGGAAAGGTATGGGTTTTGAAAATTTACTTCTGTTTAGGGTTTAGGGTTTAGAATTAAACATATAATAAGAAGGACAAAACTCTAGTGCTTTTGGTATAGTTCTGAGTTCTCTAATGAAAATTAGAATTTCCCTCATATGGATTGTAGTTATCATATTCTACCAGTTTGAGCAGCCAAACCACTGATTTTTCGACAAAAACAAGCCAAGAGAATAGATAGGTATCATCCTGATTAAGGGCTAGAACCATGAAATATTCAATCATTTTCCAAAAGTGATTGCATTGCATTTAATTTGGTCATTTTACTTGCTTTAATAAGTTAAAATGCCTTCTTATCAACTCAAACAGGAAGCAATGCAAAGGAAGGTTCTTGCATCTACTGCTGCTGCTGAAGCACTAGAGGAGGCCAATGCCACTGAATGTATTATAAGAAATTTAAGGTAACAATTGCACTTTTACCTGAATTTTATGTTGGACATAGCCTGTAATATTCCAAATGAATGATGCATTTTTTTCTTTCTTCTGTTTATCAGCATGTTTTCAGACCTCTGCTCAGTGTGCCAGGCCAGAAATCCTTTGCCAACCATAGACAGATTCTTCACCATCTATGATGATGTGCTGAAATCAACAGCAACGGCGGAATCCATTGCCAACAGACATAATTCTGAGACACCTGATGACAGCATTCCAACAGAACAGTCGAAGTCACTCTCTCTCTGGGTTGAAGCTGCTTTGGCCACTGATCTCCAGATAGTATCACTTCTAACCGGCACAACTGCTGATCCTCCATCAACATTGCAGAAAAACTTATCGAAAAGAAACTCTCTGGGTGCAGCTAAGATCCACATGAAGATTGTTTCTTCATCACCACAATCCAGTCTGAGTACCGGTGTGTGGACAAGAGGTAATGGAATGAAAGAATCAGTAGAGCTTGGAGCAAATTTGCTATCTGAAATGCAAATGTGGTTTCTACGTTTCGTTGAGGAGTCCCTTGATGCAGGATTTAAAGTGTTTGGAGAGTGTACAGCTGATGGGAAAAAAGCCTTGCCCCTGGATGGTGGCTCCATTGCTGTTGTTTTGTCACACTTAAAGCGTGTAAATGCATGGCTGGACCGCGTGGTTTCCAAAGGGGATGACTCACTTACAGAAAAGATTGAGAAGTTGAAAAGAAAGATCTACGGGTTTGTTATTCAGCACGTAGGAACGACTTTTGATAGTTCTGCTTAATCATGAATTTCTGAGTTTCTTTCTCATAACTTGTGTTTGGATCTTGAAATCGATGAGAGGAAGTGCTTCTTCTTTCATCCGATAGAATGATTATTTCATTGTATTTCAGTGTGGATGAGATAATGGACTGAATGATTTTTTACACTAAAAACAGGTCAAAGCTTGATTATTTGTTGTTGACTTGTTGAATATATTTTTTAAAAAAACTTAAATTTGCTTTTCGACTTCTTAAAAAATTAGTGAGTTTTGGTTTTGTTTTTGATTTCTGTAAAAAAACAAAACCTTCATTTTTTCATGCTTCTAAAATTTGTAAACATTTTTTAGTCCTTGTAAAATAATTTTTGTCTTTGTAAAATGAGTAAATTTTAATTTTAGTCCTCCATAAAATATTTTTTCTTTGATTTTTATTGATCTAAAATCACTATCATTGGTCCTTAATGATAATATTAAGAGATATAAATGACATTTATTTTAAGAATTTATATAAAAAAATTGAGGTGTCACACACTTGTATTATATCATTAGCAATTATAGGTAACAAGGGTTCCTTGACCTCTTAATGGATAAATAAATAGTAAAAGTTATTACACAGAGATTAAAAATAATAATTTTGAATTTTAGATGTATCAAAAACAAAGATAACTTTTACAAACATTAAAATTAAAATTTATTCATTTTGTTGTAATTAAAAGCATTTAAACCATTTTCAAATTATAAAGATGAATGCCTTCCACGCCGGAAGGCTTTTTTAATTATGATTAAAATACTTGTTTAGTTCATGTTGTTTGGCACATATTAACTTTTAATTCTTATAGTTTAAAATATATTTTTTATTTTTATATTTGTCTTTTTAATCATTTTTAGTTCCTATAGTTTAAGAAGATATTTATTTTCTATATTTATAGTTTTTTAATATTTTTTGTTTCAATCATTAAAATTTTTTATAAGGTTATTTATTTTTGTGTTGAGCTAGTAGAAATCTTCAATTTTGTAAAGGTAGATAAAGGTGTTTTAACAATGAACGTTGCATCGTAAAAATATGAAAGAAACATGAAGTGTTGAAAGACTTAATTTAGAATAACTTAACAAGATTAAATTAATATTTCTGTCACGCCAATACTAAAAAGTAGAGCTGTCAAAACGGGTAACCCAGCCCGATCCAGCCCACCACGGGTTGGTGGGTTAAATGGGTTGGCTCACCTAATTTTAAAAAAATTTAATTTAAGAACGAAAATGGAAGCACGGTGGCTTGCGGTGGCTCGCGACTCGTTGTGCGCAGTGTGGTGGCAGTTGGTGGTTGGTGTAGTGCGGACGTGCGGTGTGGTGGCTGGTGCTGTGCGGAGTGGGAGTGTAGTGCTGGTGCTGTGCGAAGTAGGAGTGCAGTGCTGGTGGCTGGTGTTGTGCAAAGCGGGAGTGCAGAGAGCGGCATGGACGAATTATATTAGATGAGGCTATGAGAAGAACTGAGAACTGAGTGAGGGTGCAACCCTAATTTGGCCAAATAAGAGTAAACATTTTTTTTACAGGTTGGTGGGTCAGCCTGGCTCACCACGGGTTCAACCCGGGTGAGCCGGGTTGTTAGTGAGGCAGGGTCAAAATTAGTCCGTACTGAAATTTTCAATTTTTTTTTTGCCTAACCCGGCTCGAACCCGTGGTGGGCCGGGTTTGCTCGCTGGGTTGAGCCCATTTTGACAACTCTACTAAAAAGACAGTGTTACAAACAATTGATGACAAAGGCTAATAATAATCTTTAGATTAAAATAAATTTAGATTAAGATGTAACCACGTACTATCGTTGTTGTAGTTTTCTTTATCATTGTTGTCATCATCTTCGTTATTGCAATTGTCACCATCTCTACTGCGACAAGCAGGTTCAAAATTAGTCCGTACTGAAATTTTCAATTTTTTTTTTGCCTAACCCGGCTCGAACCCGTGGTGGGCCGGGTTTGCTCGCTGGGTTGAGCCCATTTTGACAACTCTACTAAAAAGACAGTGTTACAAACAATTGATGACAAAGGCTAATAATAATCTTTAGATTAAAATAAATTTAGATTAAGATGTAACCACGTACTATCGTTGTTGTAGTTTTCTTTATCATTGTTGTCATCATCTTCGTTATTGCAATTGTCACCATCTCTACTGCGACAACAACAATAATGGTGGCGATGTCAATGGTGTTGATGGCAATGACCATGGTGATGGGGTGGCGACAATGGTTATGGCAACAACGTTGATGATAATGGTAGTAGTGACAACAATGGTGATGTGGCGATGATGCCATGGAGGTGGAGGTGATGATTTGCAATAATGGAGATGAAAACAACAATGATAGAGATAACTACAATAGCAATGATACATGGTAACACTTGAGTCATTTTTTTATATATATAAGATGTGACTAGACGCTTGAATCAGTGTTTATGTATAGGAGACAACACAAGTGAGAACACTTGCTAATATAAAATCAACTAATAACAATCCTTGTTAAAAATAAACAACTAAGATTAAAATATTACACATAACTTTATCACATACTACTATCATTGTAGTTAGGGGGTGGCAAAATAGGTCACAATCTATGGGTTGGCCTATTGGCATGCCAAAAATTTGCAAGTCGGGCCAAGTATTATGGCCCACTAGGCCAAACGACGAGTTGAGGCAAGTTGGCTCGCCAATGTTTTTTTTAAATTTTTTAAATTTATTATTTTTAATATAAATTTAATTAGGTCACTTCATATTTATTTTGTATATAATCTGTGATTTATTGTACAACAAATATGTTATGCATTTGATTTATTTTATTATATGTGATTTTAGATTTTTTTATTTAATTTTAGGTACACTAATTTATATAGATCCTTTAGATATTGAGAAAGAATATGTTGGGAAAGTAACTTAAAATAAATATACAATTTTTTCCTTTTTTTCTTCTTGTTTTTTTTTTTTAGCAACTTGACGGATCAGTTTGGGGACCCAATTATGTTGGTTTTTTTTAATAAATATTGAAAAATCAATAAATTTTATTTCTCCTTTTTTTTTAACTTATGAAAGCATGAAGGAAAAGATACATAAGAATTGGTATAAATATATTTTGTAACAACATCGACATTGTTAATAATTAATCAAACTTTTGAAAACACAAAGTTTACATATATTAACAAAAAAATGTTGTTCTTACACGGACTACCCGCGAGGTTTATAGACTAAGTCCACGAAGCCCATGAACTTTGTAGGGCCAGGCCAAAAACTTTGCTATACTTAAAAAAATGGGACCATAGTTGTGTAGGCTATAGGCTAAACGAATTGGTCTGCAGGCTTGAGTCCATATATCCACCGCTATCAATGATACATCTACTATTGATGTTAAAGAATGACTTAAGAAAGTTGCTTCAATGAAGAAAATAAAGTCAACCAATAAAATGGATGTTGTTGCACATGTTGCTGCTCAAGAGGTTGTTGTAGGGAATGGAAAGTTCATTGCAACCAAGAAAAAAGAGAAAGAACACTACAATCAACCGTCGATATGGTAAATAGATTATTAAAGTGATTGTATTTTCTTTTTAATGTTTAGTTTTTTTTGTCCTTTTTATTTGTTGTCTTTCCACAGCATATATGAGCATATGCTCTTTGTTCATTTACAAATGCAAAACAAACATTGGAGTGAATTTAAATAATTTGACTTTGAGTAAATTTTGTCTAATTTTATATTTGGTGGGAACTGGTATTAGTGTATGTTGTTGTTCACCTTTCTCTTGCGTCAATTATCTCGTCTTCAATTGAAATTTTTTTTTTATGAGAGTTAGGCTTTAGATTTAAAACAATGAATCATTAAGCCCATCCTAATCAATATATGTTAAAATGACAATAACAACTTCGAATCTAAAGTGAAACTCTCACGATCAAGTTTAGTCTCCATTGAAATTCAAGAAAGGATGATATCTAATCATTATAAATAAGCTAACTTTGATAAAATAATCAAACTTTGTACTATTGTTTAAAGGGTTTTGCTATTTTGTGCTTAATATAAACATTTGTATGATAGCTTGAGCATTACACAACGTACAATAAAAAAAAAGTAATTATAGATATGGCTAAAATTTTAATTTGGTCCCTTATAATATTAAAAACTTTTAATTTGGTCCAACTTTAATTTTTGGTTTCAATTTAGTCTCAAACTATTTTAAAATACTTCAAATTGGGTCTTCCATCCAAATTTCACAAAATGGTGTCAAATCTTGACCACGTGGATGCCAACTAGATGTATACATGAAATGACCATGTTAAGTTTTCTTCTTCTTCTTTAATGAGTTGATGCTTATGTTTTTGTGACATTATAATTGATATATATGTGCTAATTGTGATTTATGGCTCACATTGACAAATGCTTTGGGATGATTTAAAGGAGATTGTTGATACGATGTTAGATCCTTGGGTCCTAATAGGTGACTCACTTGTGTTTGATTTAATATCTCCTCGATGTTGGAATAATAACATTATAGTTTGAAGATATATATGTTTAAGTACCTAACTATATTGTAAAGTTATTATAATGTAATGTAAGTCCTTTTCAATCAACATATGCAACTACAATATTTGTATAAAATTAAATATTTATCTGTATTTTTGTTGAGGTATAAACAAGAAATCTTGTATTATTAGAACAAGGAAAAAAAGGATTTATAAAACATATATATATACTTCATTGATAATAGACCTTTTGGATGATAACTAAAAATAAAACCATGATGATGTAAGCTCAAAGTAAACAATATCAATACCAATTAATATGGAGTTGTGTCCACAAATACTTCCAAATAACTGGTAAATAAAAATATGTAAACTCCTTTTTGATAAAAATGTATTTACAACCCAAACAAATAATGACAAAATAATCCCATAAATGGTATAAGACTTGTTGGTTGAATTCGATGACAACCAATAATCCATAATTCATACAAATAATTGTTGGGATACAAATAAGGGATCTGCGTTGTTAGAACTAGAGAAAAATTAAGAGTTTATAAAATACACATGCTCTATTGATAAGTGAACAATATCAATACTAATGTGGAGTTGTGTGTAAAAATAATCCTAAATACTATAATAAACAACAAATATATATAATATTATCTCTTAATATAAATATATATATATATATATAAAACAAATATAAACTTAATATACAATGAAAAGTTTGTTTCAACTTTCATTTCTACCGATCTCAAGAACCTTCTTTCTAATACCAACAATGAATTATTTTGTGTTTACATTTTTTATAAAAATATATTTGTTAAGTAGAGTATATATGTTTTATTTATTTATTTATTTATGAACTCTCTGTATACATAAAAAAAATTGTGATACAAAAATTAAATAAAATATTGATATTATCCTATTATAAGAATAAGGAAACAAAATCTAAATAATTAAATTAAATAAAATTAAAATTAAAATTACAATTAAAATTAAAACATAAAATAAAAGATTTATATAAAACAAATTTATTCTCCTTTATAAATTAAAAATATTTAATCATATTTCCAAAATTGATATGACTTATGTCGAATTGTATCCTTTTAATGTGTATAAATGAAATTTGATTCATTTATTAGAAAGGAAATATGTTTTTTTATTTATAAAGTTTTATATTGTATATAAACATAATTTGTCTAAAATTTCATTGTTAAGTTAAAATTTTAGTTATGAAATAATTGACACATTAGTGCGTCATACAATAATTTACTCCACTCACTTAGAAAATGATCATTCAAGGTTAACTTAGTATATTACTATTAAGTCTGTAATCAGTTCCAATAATTTTTAACTATTTTATGAAGGAGAAGAAATGAAAAATACAATTATAATATTCGACATTGTGTCACAAATTTTTGGATATATAAAAAAATATAAAAATTTCAACACATGTCTGACCACACCTATCATTTAATTAATATTTCATCAGCCACATTATTAACAAATATAACTTAATTATAGGGACTAACTATGCTAACATGAAATTAAAAAGGAATGTAAAAGATAAAATAAAAAAATAGAAATTAAATTTAAAAAAAAAAGGCCAACTTAGCACCTATTTAAGGCATATAGAAGCACTAGCAAGAATTTTAATTTTACATTGTCTTATTATGGAGTAATAAGAAATGGCCACGTCATGTTGATGAGCGTTAGACGGTGCGTTTGGTCCTCGCCTATCCCTCTTCCCACTTCAACCCTCTCTCTTTCGCTCTCGCCATTTCTGCCACTCCAAACCAACTCGATCTCTTGCTGCGATTCCATTCTCCGCTTCCCGTAACCCTAACCGTTCTCGTTCCCATCGCAGCTCCAATCCGAACCTCACATTGGATGAACAAATCGCCGTAGTTAGGGTTCGATTCGATCGATCGCGAATTGAATGTAATCCACACCGCTCTTAAGTCTCAGAACTGGGGGCGAATCACTCTCGGCCTCTCGGAAGCCCGGCGGCGGCGGCGGCAACTCCATCGTCGCAGCAGCAGGGACTCTGGTTCTTCCTCCGCCTCCACAATGCGCCACGTGTCCACACCCTCGCGCATCTCCCCCAGGTCGAATCCGTGAGCCGCTACGCATCCGATCTCAACCGCCCCGTCCAGCTCCGCCCGCCGCCGGTCATGGAGAGCGCCGGCAACGCCTCCGCCGCCGCTAATTCGGCTCCTCCGCCGCTCGAGGAGCCCGAGTACTTGGCGCGCTACATGGTCGTGAAACACTCGTGGCGCGGACGGTACAAGCGGATACTCTGCATTTCCAGCGTTTCCGTCACCACTCTCGATCCCACGACGCTCAACGTCACGAACTCGTACGACGTCGCGACGGATTTCGAGAGCGCCGCGCCTGTTCTCAGCCGCGATGAGAATTCGAACGAGTTCAATATGAACGTGAGGACTGATGGCCGCGGGAAGTTCAAAGGCATGAAGTTCTCGTCACGGTACAGGGCGAGTATTTTGACGGAGTTGCATCGGATACGGTGGAACCGGTTGGCGCCGGTAGCTGAGTTCCCGGTGCTTCATCTTCGGCGACGGGCGTCTCAGTGGGTTGCTTTTGTAAGTCACAACACACCATTGCTTTGTTGATTGCTTCGCTAGTTGTTGTTCTCTTGATTTTGATATTTTTCCAGATGGAATAAAAGGCTTTTATGTGAACTTCGTGTGGTATGTACGTTAGGATAGCAGAGTAGAGTGGATATGCATGCATTTTGATTGTGGGATTCGTGCTTGCTTTGGGATGGTTAAGAGTGTATGGTACTGTTTGTTAGTAGTTGTGTGCAAGGTTTTAAATCGTGGTCCTGGTCACAGTTTTGTTGCGTTTCTTGATATTGTGGGAAATTGTAGACAATGTTCTGTTTCTTTATACAGTGGGAAACTGCAGATAATGCTGCGTTTCTCTATATTGTGGGCAATTGTGGACACTTAAAAAACCTGGACGTTGCGGACAAAATCATGGTTATAGATCGTTTTTTATAACCTTGGTCGTGTGTTTTTCATAGTTTGTTGTGTAAGATGAATGATGGATTCTGAGGATGCGCACTTGTGTTATTCTTTTGTCCCATGCCAATTAAGAGAAAAAATGTGTTGGATGGAGAATTTTGAGAGGAATTTAGTTTTTTAGTGGTATAGTAATGTATTCTAAAACATTGTGTTATGTATGGTCACGTAAGATAGACTGATAATATTTTCATCAGCAATTGAGATTCCCTATTTTATCTCACTTTTGAAGAATCGGATCCCATAAAAAATGACTTAATTGGATATTAAATCCAAATGATTTTTAGCATGATGAGAATTTTACAGGGGATTTCCAAGTAAACTGAAGGGATTTCAAATAAATCTAAAACAAAAGAATTTAGAGATTTCTTTTCTCTTCTAAAGTTTAACCATGAACTCTCTCACCTTAAAGCTTTGATATACTTTCTCTGGCTCTCTAGTTTGCAACTCTATTTCTCTCTTCTACACTTTTCTCCCTATCCAATAGCAATATAAAATACAAGTTTATGCTTGTATTCATAATAAAAATTGACCATATTTACATTTTTTTCCTTCTTAAATGGTATTTTGATAGGCACAAATTATGTTGACATTATAACATCAACAACTTAATATTTGATTATGTTGTTATTGATTATCTATGCAAAAAAGGGTATAAATAAACACTTTTTTTTGTTGCAATTTTCTAATTTTCAAATGACTTTTTAAATTTTATTATTTAAAATTGGCCTATGTTGATTTTTTGGTAAAATTTATATGAAAGTCTCATTTTCTTAAATAAATATTCACAAATCAAATTTTACATTTGGACATTGAATTACTTTGTCTAAACAAACAATTTACCCATGGGGATCGAGTCTAGTGGAAGGGTTAGTTCTCCTCAACATGGTGAACCAAGGATCGAATCCTTGCAAGGAGCGGCATTCATATTTATTGCTCCACAAAACACTTGACCAAGGTTGTCTCGAAAGTAAATACATTGAAACACAAGGTATTTGTATTGATTTATCCAAAGTATTTTGGGAATGAAAATAAATTAATTAAAGCAATTAAATTTCTGTGCATGCCAAATTCCTTATAATTTTGAAATCCATAATCCAAAAACTACCTTAATGTTTCATAGTGTGAGGATTGCAGAGATTAGCCTATATTAGGACAGTGGGAATATATATATATATATATATATATATATATATATATATATAT